TGTCAGCAGCTCACTATATAAAATCAAATAATATGAAGAATAATGAGATGGATAGAATATGGAAGGAAACAGTAATGACTTAATTTGAGGCATTATTCCAGCATTTGCCTGGAGGGACTGACAAAATATACAAACACCTCAATTAGGACAGCAAATCTTCAGGTTAGTATTTGAAGCTGACACCTCCCAAAGTCAAAGCAGCATTACTATGACAATGGGCAAACTACTTGGTGCATAAGTGACTGTTATGGGTTGCTTGTTAACAGTTGCAATGGAAGCCTTGGCCACACTTGCTTAAAACATTTACCACAGCTTTCAATTCTGGATAGCAGTTCAAGTCCATCGTCAAATGCATTTTCAACAAATAGTACAATTGCTACAAATTTCCTAGAATAGTGACAACACCACATGCTATATATATATATCAGTCTACTATACTGGAGACTGAATCTGGAAGACAACTGATTCCTATCTGTATATATTTTGTTAGTATTTCTCATTTGAAATATCTTGCGAAAAATAATGAAAAGTTATGCAGATGTATTATTTTTGTTCGATAATGAGCTCATCTCACAAACGAAGTGTGAGGTTATGACACTTCCTTCCCCTTCATACATAATTACCAGACAAACAAAGTACGAAATTTAACCAGTCATATGTATGAAATAACTTACGTTATATCAGGTTCAACAGAATGCATGATAGAAAATACTGTTAAAATTATATCACAAATCCACTCTCCCGTCAATCAAATCAACACAACTGCCACAAGAAACCGTTTGAACATGCGTTATTCACTTCAAATTCAAACGAGTTTCAGGACTTGATACTAGACGCCAGATTAATATGGCCATTACATTCTGCGACATCTCTTGCAGAAATCGCGTACTAACTAACTTGACGGCTTACCGAAACCGAAGGTTCATCACCGAATTAACCAAAGCAATTTACCGGACCCTGTCCTGGGCCAACAAAATCCAGTTTCCTTCAACTCCTATCTCCCATAGATCCCGCCTGACATTATCCTCCCATCTACATCTAGGTGTCCCCAGCGGTCTCTTCCCTTCAGGTTTCCCAACCAGTACCCAGTGCACACCTCTTGTCCCATCCATGCGCGCTACATGCCCAGCCCACCTCATTCTTCTCTACGTAATCACCCTGACAATACTGAGGGAGGAGTACAGATATTTAAGCTCATCATTATGCAATTTTCTCCACGCCCCATCGTCTTCCCTCTTAGGCCCAAATATCCTCCTCAACACCCTGTTCTCAAACACCTGCAATCTGTGTTCCTCCCTCTGAGTGAGAGACCATGTTTCGCACCCATACAAAACAACAGGCAAGATTATTGTTCTGTATACTTTAATTTTCAGGTTCTTAGAAATCAGACGGGAAGACAAAATATTTAGTTACCACCTAAACAATTCGTTTCTCATGCATTAACATTCTGTCACTACTGAAATGAATGTTTGTTTGTTTTTGTCCATGAAGTAATTTTATATACAAATTTTAAAAATTCTCTGGGTATTACAGACAGTGTAATTGTCCTTTACGTTGTAATTCAATGTGCAGACAATTACAGCCTAAATGACGAAACTACGTTAAAAACGAAAGGAAAAAGCGATTGGTGATGTATCTTTGCCTTGTATTGTAACCGACTCTGATCGAAAGTTGAGAGGATATTACGACCTCCGCATAACTTTCAAATCACCTCTGATATGTGAACCAATTCTCTGATAGCGTGATTGAGTTTAGAATCTTTTGTCTAATCTCTTCCATCTAAAAGCGTCCCAGTTCGACGCGTAAATGAACAGAACTGAAGGAAATTATAGATTAAATTTCTAATTAAAACCGTAAGTTAATTTATCGGGTTTACAATGTAGAAACTACATACAACACTCTGTGAGGTCTGTAATAATTCCATTTATGTCTCTACGTCTATAAATTCATAATGATTTTCGCAGTCTCAAATTGATTTAATTACCAACAAAGCGTTTTGGATTATATGAATATATTTCTGAACATAATTAATTCCTGCCAGCAAGCTACATCCTCAAACCTTTCATTAAATTGCAGACAAAGAAACGTTACATTAAACAATCTTCAGGGCTGACATTCCTACAAGACCTCCCTTCACGTAACCCGGGCGAATTATCGTATTGACACCAGTACAAGCAACTCTGAAGAACCAAAATTACCTCTCAGCTAATCTTAACGTTTCCGTCCTTCATCTCTTAAAGGGATTTCTCTGATTCATTAAATTTGTAATTTATCACTTCCATATATTAACACAATATGAAAGTTCGCAGATTACAACACTGGTTAGTTAGTTATTTAAACACGTTATACCAACCGCGGAAGTTGTTTAATATAGAATAATAATAAAGTAGAATCTGTGCTCCGGAAGGAAGTCAGCATGATGTGGTATTTGCTTGATTTAACCCCTTAAACCGAAGTGGTAACCATACATACCACCTCCTTCAATAATCAATAACCACAGAGTGTAGATTATTAATGTATTTCGTATGATTCTCACTTTAAAAATCAAAGAGGAGACAGGTAGTGATCCTACTAAACTAGCTCTGAGTAGCCCTCCACAGAATATTATCCATGGCAATGTACCCAAAGGACACCATTCAAGGCAAGGTTCTGGTTCCAGTTTGGGTAGTCTCTCTCTTGATGGTGTGCAAGAAGAACTGGTATCATCGCCACCTCTACTGAAGAGTCAAGACAGTTCAGAAATCAAGCTTGCTGATGGAAAGGTGAAAAGTGTCTTGTAATTTAAACCTAATGAATACATCATCTTTGGAAAGAAGAAAATAACTGTCTTATCCTTCAGTACTTAATTATTCAGTTTTAGGAACGTTTCAAGCTGTACTTCCGCTGCTCTGTACATCTGCAAGGTTTGATGCACAATCAGGCACAAACAGCTTAACATTTCTTTAAAAACTGTGTGCTTAAATGTTTGGTTCATAGGTGCTTAACCAGAAAGATGTAAAACAGCTCGAGAAACGTGAAGATTAATGGAGGCGGAAGTTACAAAAATTGGAAGAAGAATGGACCAAAAAGTTGGAAAAGAAAGATGAATGGAAAAAACCAATATTTAAAGAGTAGTATGCCATCTTACCAATGATATACAGTAGATTCCAGTTAATTGGGCCATCAGTCAATCGGGGCAGCTGTTTCTTTGGAACAAATCTTAAACAACAAACCATTTTAACTCTTTACATGGAACTTCACATTATTGCGGCAGTTGCATAATTGGGCCAAAGTGTTCTAGTAATGATGTGTCCCAATTAACCAGAATCCACTGTATCTCTGATCTTTATTCTCTTGAGAGTATAAAGAATATGCAATATTTGTAACTAATGAACTCCACAGATCAATATAAATTCTGATCACTGTAAAAACATAGAATATCACAATAGTTCCCTTGCCAAAACTTAGACCAATACCCAGAAACAGAATCCAACATTACTAAGAATGACACACATCACTTAAACTGTTGAGGTGGAGGACCAAATATACTGCCACTCTGCTTGCTTGCAGTTCTTGATGGAGCAAACCCCAGCATTTTCTGGATGTTCTGAAAATAGAACATAAACTTCAGTTTCTTTCCCTGCAGAAATCATAAAATTTGCTCAACAAAGAGACAATGATCTTACCAACATAAGAAATCCACATCAACACAAAACAACAGGATTTCTGTCTTGTTATTTGACCCTCAGGTGACAAAACCTTAAGTGGTCAGGTGAAACTTTTAACTTAATCTTTTGTATTATGTCAGTTGCATACTTAGAATGGTCCCCATTTGAAAATCCAAAGCTCACACAATGCTTCAGAATCAACCCTTTTCTCTTCAGTGGGAGATTTAATCAATTTTGAAAACAAACTGCAAAGCTTCACACGTGACAAAAATTTACCATGACTATTCTAAAAGTTCCATAATTTAATTTATTTTGTTATAATTTTAATTTAATATGCAAACATCAAAGGAATTGGCTAATGTTTATAGAGAGAATGGAAGCCAATAGAATTCCACAAAAAATGTATAAATACAAACCTAAAGGCAAATGAGGCAAAGGCCGCCCACAAAAACGTTGGTATGACTAATTTTAACTGCAGAGTACTGTATCCTATTTACTCGAACAGAAAATTCCTTGGAGATGGAACAATCTATAATAGGCAAAACCATGGAGATGATGATGAAAATTTTTACTTATTAATTTCCTTCCACTTGAAGAAAGTTCTCACAAACTAGCTACAGTCTCCATGGTACTCTTTAGGAATAGTTGGAATCCTTCATTTCACAATAACTAAAGTCATTCCAACTTGAAAAGATCCTGTTTAAGATGGTTTCCTAAGAAATTAAAATAACTGGGTTCCAAAACATCGCCATAAGAATAACGTATTTATATTCCACTTAAATGTTTCCCATGTAAAGATATTTCCCATATAAGAAGAGAAATTTTAAAGTCATGTACCAAACATTTCATCCATTTCATATGTATTTATTAGATTATGTTACGGACCACCGGATCAATAGCGAAGTGCAGAGTTCCACTCATGTGAATAACAACATCTAGTGCAGTGTCGCTTGAAATACTTTTGTTTAATACCCAATTCATTATTTATTTTTTAATCCATTTGATTAAATGAATTAATTTCCCTGATGCCACTGATGATGACCTCTTGAGGTTGAAACGCGTATGGCAATAGTGTGTTTTTATAGTGTTAACAGTCGTTTGTTTTGCTTATTTTATATACAGTACTGTGCGAATTAGTTTGGACAAGCGAAGGAACGCTAAGTCCAAGCCCTGCAATAGACACGCACAAGTTTAGACTTGCAGCAGAGCGATATCTGCAAGTCTAGAATTGTCTGTTGTGTTACTCTGGTATTATTTACACTTCCACTTTAGTCGGAATTGATATTTCATAGGCTGAGGACGTGTTTAAGTATTTCACAATTTTCATTGGAAACTTTTTTATTAAATACATCATGGACATCACGCCTCGTAAACGAGCTAAAATAATCACTTTAGGCAAAAACACTTCACTTACTGCTAGGCAGATAGCAAAAGCAGTTGGGGTCAGGAAATCCAGCGTTTCACGGATCATGAAGCTGCATAAGGAGACAGGGTCCGTGGACACGTCCCGTAAAGGACGTTGTGGAAGAAAAAGAAAAACCACCCCAAGAGATGTTAGTCTAATTCGAATAATTAGTATCATAAACCCGAAGAAGACCAGTGGAGACATCAAAAGGGAGATTGCGTCTCATGGGGTTAATATAGATGCTTCCACCGTACGTCGTGTCACCGCCCTTTCGTAGACGACTCGTCTTCTTCCTTTGGATGCCCCGGGATCAAACCCAGTAGCGTGCAGTTACAGCGCGAGATATAAATTTGGATATGTGGAAGGATATAAGGAATAATTGGTGTAGGATTTGTCGGAGAGCAAGATTCTCCGACTCTCAGGGATTATATGGGGACTGTGATAGTTGGAGCGGGATTTGCGACAAGTGGAATCTGCAATTACTCTGGTCGGAGGCAGCGTAATGATTCGGCTGTTGTACTTATACTTGCAATTTGAAGAATGAAGCAGAAACTGTCTGCTTGCCTTGACGAATCAAACTTTCTGAGCGCGCGCGAGAGCAAGAAGGGCAAGAAGAATGCACCAACGCGATCCCGCTTTAAATACCCCCGCAACGTAACTGTTCATAAATTTTGAAATGCATATCTAAGATGGATTGCACGAGGAAAACCAAAATGATAGAAAGTGTCATGAAGTGATGGAAATATGTGGAAAGCTAGTGGCATCAATGGTTGAGAGGGTGAAAGAAGTAATTAAATCGAAGGGGGGTCACATTCACTGTTAACTACACTATTAAACAAATAAATATTTTAGTTGTGTCTTTGTTACTGTATTTTCCTATTGTCCCAACTAATTAGCACAGTACTGTACATTCACATAAATGAGCATCTTGCCACGGATCAAATACTATGCAGAGTGTCCCAAAAAGATGTATACATAGCAGCAACTTTGGTGGCCACTTGTCAGTCAGTTTCTCACTGCTTTCAAAGTTAACAGATGTCATTTTAAACACCATGCTAGATTAGTTAAGTCACTAAATGCCAATGCTGACAATAAATTCTGAAGCTGGACCCAGTGTATTTTCCCATGCTGGCACACAGAACAGACCCTCATTCTCTGTCAGGAAGCAAAGTTTTCTCTGCCTAATATTTAAGCATCAAAAGACAACTCACCTTGGAACATTAGGAAAGTACGATTCAATACAAGAGAAACAACTTTATCCACAACCTCACAGAATCTTGTTGAAAGTGTGGGAATCATAAATAAAGCACACAGAAAAATAGTTGCAAATCCAATTTTTGAAGCATCAGTATCACGTACCTGACGAATAGACATGGTGCAAAGAATGTAAAGAAAGATAAAGGAACACTCAGTGTAGTCATCTCCAGATAAGTTTCGGTGTGACAAACCATGAATCCATGAGACTGGGACAAATGGCAACCTTGCAACTACTCTTCCATCAAATCTAAAATAAATAAAACCAAAACATAAAAACTGCAAATTAGAAATATGTCTGTAAACCCAATCTAAAACTGGAGAAAGTGTACAATGTTTTACCTCTTTAATCCTTCGTCTACAACATTACAGCCTCCACTTTTGTGTTAAGATCACAAAGCACTAATACCTTAATGTTATAGCCATGCCTTCCAAACCAAATGGTCAGCACTGCCCATCAAATTTTAATCACAATTTACAGACTATTATATAACTCACATGCTATTGAACATGCTCAATAAGGCTGTAAATGTAAAGCCTATGGTAAACATTGATTTCATCTTCACAAGTGAGAGATCACGATTGTTGTTCTTAAGTTTCTCTTCTTCACGCTCAATCTTCTTTTTATGTTGTTTGTCCAGAGAATCTCCATGAGCCTCTTTCCTCTTTTCCACTGCAAGGAGACACTGCATTTATACTGCAACTAGTAAAACTTTTAAGAATGATGGAAGATGGGAAGTAAGGCAGTCATTTCTCAGTTTATGTGCCCTGCATTCACTCTAGCCATGCCTCTCACAACCACTGCAAGTTTATAAACAAACTGCTTGCAGCCAATAATGCTTGTGGAGATGCTCCATCCTAAATAAATGATGAGTTTAGTCTCACTTACTTACTTAGACGACCTGTTCTTCAGTGCCTTGAGCATCTGTGGGTCCCAAACTTTGTTGGCTTTGATCTATTAAACAGTTGGTAGGACTCCTTGGACGAGTGATCAGCCTGTTGTAAGGCCTCTACCTGTACACAGGACAGCACAACACAGAAAGACGCGGACAAACATAAATGCCTTGAGTGGGATTCGAACCCATGGTCCCAGTGATCACGCGGCCACTGCGATGGCATGTTTAGTCTCACTGCACCATTCAAAGCATAATGATTAGTCGATGAAACACAAATGATTACTCATGATAAGCACAACACGAAAATAAGCTATTAGGATTTTCCCGATCTTTCCACATTCCCTTTTTGTGATGTCACCCAATGGCACAGCTACAATGAATTCAGTGCACAATGTACCTACACTAACACTGGTCTTTTATTATAACAACTCATACAACAAGTGGGTGGTTTATTCTATACCAGTATCTGTAGGCACCTGTGTCATAATCCACTCAAGGAAATATCTCAACAATCTCAACATTTGGTTTGACAGACCAAGTAATTCTGCAACACTGCAACCTGATTCAGGCACAGATTAGAATAAAAATAAACCATAAAAATACTTCATACTCATGCTATATACTACAAATATACTATTCATATTCTGCTTTATGCACAAACTTACACTTTTTGCTCTGCCTTTCAACTTCTGCCTTTAGTTTCTGAAACTTTTCAGTTCTGTAAACCATAAGCCATGTTAAGCCTGAAATCAAATATAATTATTTGCAACCGGGCATCTGAACAAAACAGTACACAAAAAGCGAGTCACATACAATAAATACAATTTCATCCATTACATTTATAATCTTGGATGCATTTATACAAATTTCCAGTATTATATAGTAGGTGAGTACGATTCAACTTCAGTATTGATGATACATAGAATAGAATAGAATTTATTTACATTCCATAGATCCTTCATAGGCCCAAATACAATAAATACAATTTCATCCATCACATTTATAATCTTGGATGCATTTATACAAATTTCCAGTATTATATAGTAGGTGAGTACGATTCAACTTCAGTATTGATGATACATAGAATAGAATAGAATTTATTTACATTCCATAGATCCTTCATAGGCCCAAATACAATAAATACAATTTCATCCATCACATTTATAATCTTGGATGCATTTATACAAATTTCCAGTATTATATAGTAGGTGAGTACGATTCAACTTCAGTATTGATGATACATAGAATAGAATAGAATTTATTTACATTCCATAGATCCTTCATAGGCCCAAATACAATAAATACAATTTCATCCATCACATTTATAATCTTGGATGCATTTATACAAATTTCCAGTATTATATAGTAGGTGAGTACGATTCAACTTCAGTATTGATGATACATAGAATAGAATAGAATTTATTTACATTCCATAGATCCTTCATAGGCCCAAACCAAGGATGTAGAACAGATCATAGCACAAATACAATACTCGTTTCTAGTACAAATATAAATACATATATATAACAACTATTTACAGATTTTTGGAACCACAGTATTACTGCAAAATAATTATGATGAGAAACCATCACCATTATTACTTACATGTATTTATAATAGTCGAGACTTTTTGGGTGATGTAAATTCTTCTGCTGAATAGAAGGCGTGAGATAGGAGATATTCTTTTAACACTGGCTTAAACATTTTTATATCGTGATTTAAACTTTTGATAGTAGGTCGATGATTATTGAATAATTTAATTCCAGTACAGTAAACTCCTTTTTGATATTTACTGAGGTTAGAATTTGGCATATGAGGGTTGTATCTGTATCTGTTTCTTATATTGTGGATATCTGAATTTGATTGAAATTTTTCCAATTATCCACTATAAATGATAATAGTGAGAGCAAGAATTCACTGGCTAATGAAAGAATATTAAACTTCTTAAATAATTCCCTACAAGAGGCTCTCCTTTTAGTGCTTGCCATTATTCAAATGATTTTTTTTTAATGTAAAATACTTTTATGCTGTCTGTTGAATTTAACCAGAAAATTATTCGATATGACATGGAATGGAAGTAAGCAAATAAACTAATTTTAAAGTTTCTGTCTCCATGAGTCCTGCAACTGCCCTCATAGCAAAACATGTGAGTTTAGTTTAGGGATAATGTATTGAATATGTGTTTTCCAGTTTAATTTGTTGTCAATTTGTAGGCCAACAAATTTAGTTGTTTCTATTTCCTTGATTATTTTATCATCATACCCTATATTTAGATTTACACAAGTTCTGCTGTTAGTACAAAATAACATGAAATTTGTTTTGTCAAAATTGAATGTGAGTTTATTGGCTTTAATCCATTTGTTTAAAGACATCATTTATGCAGTTTTGAAAACAGTCAATTTCTGGATGTGAAATGAAAATATTAGTATCATCAGCAAAGAGTATATAGGTTTAGATTGAGAGGTGATGTCTGGGGGCAGATCATTGACCTATATGCGAGAAAAAGCAGAGTACTGAAGTATTGAATCTTGAGGCACGCCATGTTTTACAACACCCCAATTTGAGTAGGTGCTATCATTTGAATCTGATGATTATATTTCTATTTGTTGCTTTCTGTCATGAAGGTATGATTTAAACCACTGACCAGCTATATTTCGAATGACCCATCTACAGCACTTTTTATTAATAACTTCACCAAAAAAATAAGAAATGATAATTTTGTAATATAACATAGGCGTAAATAATGGGTTATGTAGGTTACATTGAACAAAAAGGAACAGATTACAGTTCTGTGTGGAACGTCGCACAGCTGCGTCGAATGTTTGATTATGACCAACATTTCGGCAAACAATGAAGATGCCAACTTCAGTGTGGCTATCTAGTGGTGTCCAAACAATCGACGCTGCTCTCACAGCAAAACCGAAGTTACACATTGTACTCACCTTCCCCAAGAAGAGCAGTGCATATTGAAATAAATAAAATTAAAAGTGTGTCCGCCCACATACTTAATATTTCAGTATCTAACTCAAACTAAATTCGAGCCCTAACTAATTCTGTGTACTCCTTGATTGTATTCAACCACACCTGTTTCCTTCAATTCTACCAATACGATATTCTAAAACACAAAACTTACCTATGTCGGTAGAGTGAAATTGGGCGAGTTACTGAAAAAAGGAGGGAGCGGTCAGGTTTATTAATGGGAATCTATTTATCTGAAATCCATTACACAGCAATCTTGTTTGAAATGTTTCCCAATTTTAAATGCCTCATGTTCATCTAGGCAAATAAATTAGCTAAGGAATCAGTGGAGACCTTACCGCTGATGTAAGTCAGATTTATCTTTTTCCAAATAATTTATTAGAACACCAGAAATGGCTTGTTTCGATTTATTTCTGAATTGAACAACCTTTCAGATTATAAAACTTGAAGGTTTATTATAAATGCATTAAAGCAATCTGATGAAGTAAAGTCAGCAATTAATCTGTATTTAATTAATTTAATAGCCCTAAGAAATTTGTTATGTGGAATTATAATGGTATCTTCCATGAGCCTGAAGGAAAAATATCATCCACAAAATCATAGTGGGTACTTCACTTTCAGCATAAAATTGTTTTTAAACAAAACACTGACACACTTTATGTGCAAAATCTGCACATAATTTTTTCTAACATCAAAATGCAGAATGCCACATAATTTTTGGACTTACTGATTTTAAAAAAGGTGAAAATAGCAATCTAATATCACAACCCTAGTGCAAAACGTTAACACCAGTACGCTAAATTTATTTACATCAAAGAAGAGGGTTTTAAGTGAATAATGAATTGTAAAGGTGGCCACATTTAAGGAAGGAATGAGAGACATCACAAAATAATCTGCCATATTTGGTGTCTATTTGTACCCAGATCCTCATGAATATAAACCTGGACTGCTTATCAATTGATCACATTAGATAATTCACTAAAATAAAATAAAACTAAGGGCCCCCATACACACACAGTTTGGCCTCCCGTTCGGCCTGCACAGTTGAAGACTGAAAGGCAAAGCTGATGTGTGTGGTGCGGCCGGCCGGCCAATCGTTTGGACTGTTGGAAATCCATCAGTTCTGCCTGCAGGACGTAGCACTGACAGGCGGAACGCACGTGTGTGACGATACCGGCAGGCCAATCGCTCAGTTGCTGCTGCTGCTGTCTCGTGTTGTTCAATACTGTTTCGCGTTTGTGTGATGGCATCGTGGTCGAAGGAATTTGTACTCGAATTTATTGAAGAATTTCGTGGTCATCCTTCTATTTGGAAAGTCAAGAGCAAGGAATACCACAACCATGAGATGAAAGAGAGTGCTTATTCAATACTGACGGAAAAAGTTAAAACAATAGATCCCCAAGCTAACAAGGAAAATGTGTTGAAAAAGATCAACAACCTACGTAGCAGTTTCAGAAAGGAACGGAAGAAAGTATTGATGGCTAAGAAATCTGGAAGGCTGGAAGACTGTGACTGTGGCATGCAGCCTGCCGGTTTATCTGCGCGTGTATGGGGAAGGAAAGGAAGAGGACAAACTGTCAGTTTTACCTGTAAGGTCGATCGGAAGGCCAAACTGTGTGTTTATGGGGGCCCTAAGTGAATGTCATATTCCAGTCATTAGCACCCCTACTTTATATTTCAGAGGGCCTGATTTAAGAGTCTCACATTTAGGCAAGCTTAATTGAGACTAATAAATGTTTTATTACATTTTGACCTAAAATATGAAACCAGATTAAAAGAGAAAATCCTGTTTTGAAAAGTATATATTATCTCAAGTATGATTATTTGGTGACCCATAAATTGCATGTTAAGAACATAGTAAAGTTATAGACATATGTATTTAAATTTGCAAATTGTTAAACTAAAATTTATGTGAATAGTGACTAAAAACCTTAAACACTAATGTCTTCAATGTTTACATTAGTTTTTGAATATGAGCAACTATTTAATTACTGGGCATAAGAAGTAACAATTCAAAACATAAATTTGGGAGATAAATTAAACTTCCTGAAATGTTACTTCTCTGCATTACTGTATAACTTACCATGTGCTGAAATAATCAACAAATTCAAACGTTATAGAAATTTTTACAATGAAAGTTACAACTGAGAGTTAATTCCTAATATAAACACAAAATTAAAAACTTTGAAAAGAGTACTGGAACATGTAAACAGAACAAACAATCTAATGTTTTATTTTACATCAAATGAGACAACTTTTCCACAATACTGTATCAATAATGTTGCGAGACAAGTTTTTCTCTATATATAAAATATATTGCAACTGTGTAGCAACTACATATACTATTTGTAAACAGTTCAGCGATAAGATTTTAGATGTTTCTTGTTTCCCATTCTGGATAGGAAACTAGATACAAATTTTATAGTATGGATGTGTTTGCAAACACAAGACTGGTGATCACTAATCAAACAGCTTGTGGAAATTATCTGTGTGAACATGTCTTTTTGTATCAGTATATTTGCCTCCATTATTTATTTTTGCATTATGTCTTAACTGTGAGTTAATTCAGTTTTAGAGGAAACTGAGAAGTAAATTCAGTACATTTTATGGTGGTATACATTACCGCACCATTATCTTTTTAAAATAATCTGTCAAGATATAACCTCACTCAGTCACACTGCTTTACAAATTTCTTGTTCCCATTGGTAGGTATGGATATACAACACTGTTTGTCAGCTGTATTCTGTCTTGAAATGGTCTCTCAGCAGTACAGAAACAAAGTCACTGAACGATACAAATCAGTGTCATTTAACAAAGTCTGGACATACCTTTAAATACAACAGTTACATGTTGATGTCTGACACTGTTCAATACTACAATCATTTTCACAATATTTTAATCTAGAATTATTTATGTATATACTGTTAAAACAAGTCTTATAGCAGCAAATAAGTCCATAATTTTAAAACAAAGGCAAATAAAAAATAATATTAAAATTAATCTTGCATTTCCTGTATGCAAATTATATAACCCTATTTTGCACTTTTATAAGCAAATCCACCTTATGTTTTATGGTCATTTTCTCAAGAAGGGCTCATGATGTTAAAGAAATTATAAGACAAAATTCTGTCTCACTCAATTTGATACATTTTGTTCAAAACATTTTACCCCTAATAAACACAATGAAATAGTTTTAAACAAGAACTTCAGCTTTCAAGACAAGATACACCCTAGAATGGCCATTGTAGTTTATGATCAGGTTTAAACTTGAAATTATGAAGAAAAAATATAAAATTTCATGATCTTTGCTACACAGGGTTCAATGTAGAAAGGGTTTTCAATGGACACCTATTCAAGAAAGGTGTTCCTCAGGTTTACAGAATGGCAGTGATAACATGGTTCTCCTAACCTTAAAAGTCGAATGCCACATAATTTTGAAACAATTAACTTCAAGAAAAGAAGCACTTACCACAGCAAGGACCTTTTGTAAAGATTTTCTCAATGAAACTGAATGCACCATCTGTATATCTTGTGCCAATCATGATCTTCAGGGTTTTTATGCTGTGTGCCCTTCACGACCCAGAAAACTATGATAAAACAGCTTTACCACTATAAGGACCTCTCAATCTTATGAATTTATATGGCACATTACACAGCAGATGTAAAAGTATAACTAAGGAAGATGACTCCATGTCCATCACTGCTCTTTACCTGATTTATTGTTACTTTACTTACTTAACTACTGACATACTTCCGCCTTATATGAACATCAAAACTCCCCCTTACACTGCCATTTATTATGGATCAGCCAGTGCAACTGTGTATAGTATTTCTATCAAAAACATTCAAAGTGAAGGAGAGGGGCTTGGATAAACTCATGTTTTATAGCCATAAATCATACATAAATGGCAACATACAAAGCATGCATATTTTTCCTGTAGCAACAAAGTTATTAATATAGAATTCAATAGTAAAATTTAACAAATATAATGAACAACAAATACAGCAAGACAAGAATCCTTTACTTGAATTTCTTGCAACTTTATGTATAAAGTAGATGCTAGGTAATGGAACATCAACAAGAGCATGTCTTCAGATCAACAGTTTCCAATGCTTATTGGTTAAAGAAACATAGTTATACTCTATACATTCAATCTCTTACATCTCTCCTGTGAAACTACTGATAATAAAATGCTAGTTTATTTAAAGAATTTCTGTGTTCTACAATATATTTTGGTCCCTCTCTTTGGTAAGTCCTCCTTCCTTTCTCTACTGCCTGGTTTATGTATTTAATGTTGTATAGCCTGTTTAAGGATTAGTAAATAGAATCTAATGTGAAATACTTTAAACTATACTAACTATAACATAAGATCTATAATTCCAAATAAAACAATGATGACTCAAGGCAGCAGATATAACACATGAAGGGAGGAGGCATATGGCATGACTTCATAAACTTAGTTTACTATTGTCTTGAAAACAAGGTTCCCCACCGCTACCCCTTATTTAGTTCTGATTGTGTAATTAATACATTTAATATTATTATATAAGTCTACAATCCACAAATGGTCATGTTTTACATTTATAAACTTAGCTAAACTAATATATTTACCACTATGGCAGTGTAACAAAGTCCGATTATATCCTCTTTCATCTTAGTTTTTCACATATTCTGTCATAACTCAGTTTATTTCCATCTTGGACTCTGCCCTCATTGTCTTCTCTTTTGCATAAATGCATTTCCTAATCTCAAAACCAATAGCAGCTCCCATTGGTGGAGGAACAGCATTACCAATCTACAACAGACCAGTCAGTCACATTCATGCAGAGATATCAATAAAGTCATTAAAAACAGAATTCATGACAAAATATTGTAAAATCTATATTTAAATTCCTACTGTTCATATTATAACTAGATGAAACTACGAGGTCTGTCCAAAAAGTATCCGACTATATTTTTTTCCACGGTAAGTAATGGCGAAAGAGTGGGAAACTGAGCGTAGTGGGAGAAGGGACTTTCATGCGCATGCGTGATTTTTTGCTGCCTCGCAGCACCACCGGATGCATCTGTCACTGCCAGATAGCGAAGTGGTGTAACATGTTCGTTGCATTCTCGTTTCGCTCAAGATGACGGAACGCTTGGAGCAGCGATACTGCATCAAGTTTTGTCAGAAACTTGGGGATACCCAAGCGGAAACAATCCGCAAAATTCAGCAGGCTTTCGGCGATGATGCAATGGGGGCCACTCAAATTAAAGAGTGGTTCAACCGCTTTAAAGATGGCCGCATGTCGGCGGACAGTCACCAGCGTTCCGGGAGACCGTCAACGAGCCGAAATGCTGATGTCATTGACAAAGTGTGGACATTGATCATGGAGGACCATCGTTTGACCGTCCAGGAAATTGCTGATGTGGTTGGGATCAGCAGAGGTTCGGCAAACACGATTTTAACTGAGGATTTGGGCATGCGAAGAGTGGTGGCAAAATTTGTGCCCAAGCTGCTTTCGCCGGAGCAGCAACAACTCCACCTTGAGGTCATGCAGGACATTCTGAAGTGCGCCAAAAGGGATCCTGAGTCCCTGAAGACTGTGATCACTGGTGACGAGTCGTGGGTGTACGGATATGACCCAGAAACCAAGGTCCAGTCGTCACAATGGAAGCATCCAACATCCCCGAGGCCCAAAAAAGCATGACAATGTGAAGGTGATACAGACTGTTTTTTTTGATTACCGGGGTGTTGTGCATCATGAGTACGCACCAATTGGCCAAACTGTCAATAAGGAGTACTACCAAGAAATCCTCCGTCATCTTTGTGATGCAGTTTGGCGCAAGAGACCGGAGCTGTGGGACGCACGCAACTGGCAGTTGCATCATGACAATGCCCCAGCTCATTCATCACACCTGATCCAGGGTTTGCTGGCCAAGCACAGCATTCCACAGGTTCGCCAGGCTCCCTACTCTCCTGACATGGCTCCTTGTGATTTCTGGATGTTCCCAAGAATGAAGACACCACTAAAAGGCTCCTGTTTTTGACAGCCGCGAGGACATCATACAGAATGCAATGGTGCAGCAGCACACCATTCCAAAACAAACCTTCCAGAATTGCTTCCAGCGATGGAAGGACCGCTGGGCTAAGTGTGTGGAGTCACAAGGGGCATACTTTGAAGGGGATTAGGTATTGTAACCCCCAGATACAGAACTTTGTTTTCCCGGCCCAAGGTTAGACATTTTTTGGACAGACCTCATACATGTTTGAAGACGCCTGTGAAAACCTCAAATCCTACATAACTACATGGTTACTTGAACTGGATATCCCCCATTCAATAAAAGTTGAAATAACAAGACATGCTGTATTATAATTTTTTAAGTTCTAAAAAGTTATTCTACACATACACCTAGACTAGACCTGTTTACAACAGAAAAAGCTACCACCATCCATATCCCTCCAGACCAGCTACTTATCAGTCAATGATACATAAATCATGCTATATTATATAATAAATGATTTCATGAAGCAGAAAAGATGATAGTTATTCAAATGGTCAAGAAATTCCCATCCTCTATAGAACCCCAAGTTTCATTACTGTGTTCCTGAGTAAGAAGGACCCAGCCATACAAAGGTGGGGGTTAGACATTAAAAACAAATGTACAGAAAAAATAAAACAGATACAATCAAGAAATGTACAATGGATATCTGTAAAGATAACACAGATAATGGGACAAAATGTAAAGATAACACAGATAAAGGGACAAAATGAAATACAATAATTACATGAAATCAAGAATGGAACAGCAAGAACATTACTAACCTGGCGATGTTTGTCAAGAATAGTACCAAAGAAGCGGTACGTATCAGGGAATCCTTGTGACCGAGCACATTCACGCACACTCACAACTCGGGTTTGTTCTGGATGTAACACTCGACCCTGATGATAAAAACAGACTATAATGGCATGATATAACAGAAAGATTATATAATGGTCCTCTGGAAACAGGTAAAGACAAAGAACTTACACTCATTTCTTGGAAAATTTTGGCTTTGAATTTATGCAATGACCATACATTTGCTTAATTAAACTAAGAAATGCACTTTGCAAGTTTCTGCACATTTGGCCACAATATTAAGCCTTTGACAAGCAACATTTACATATCCTAAAACACTAGCAGAGTGAGTTTATTTCCTCTCACAATAAAACTCCTGTCACTTATGCAATTTTTGTTTAAAAGATTAAGAGACAAACTGAGCACTTAGTGTAACCAGTGATGCTGAATATATCAGTATCTTTATACTTATCAAAGGGTTAACATAATTTCTGACAAACTTGATGACGAAGGTCTGACATATATGAGTGGTAAGCTTCACAATCTGACCACAGAACCCTAGTGAAAGAACCCTTGTACCACTGGAGAGGAGACCGAGCTGGTATAGATGTGGCAGCAAAAATGAAAATACTAGGAATCAAACCTTGGTCATCCAGCCAAGTTTAAGACTTTAATATGATGTATATTATATGTATACTTTATATTCTGTACCAGTGGATGTTTGTCTTCATTCTGTGGGAGAGGGGCTTTAGGCCATTGTTGAGGACATCTGGTACAGACCAAAATACATTTTTCACTCAGCATAAATTCTCATAATACCAAATTTATTCAAAATCCATTCCACAGTTACTGATGAAAAACAAATACATGGGCAGAGGTTACTTCCCCATTATGCATTATGTATTATGGTCCAACTGGCCATGTCTCATAATAGCATACTACCTTGCTGTCAGGCCTGATGCCCATCCAGTCTCCTATGGACTGGACATCACAGACTTTTGCCCTGGAAGGTAAAGAAGTCATAGCATGGCAGAGTGAAGAATGCATGGATATTTACCTCTGCTCCACCCTTAAGCCTTCACAGCAAGGTGTTTAGGAGAGGGAAAACTTTATCCTCCAAAAAGCAGACACATATGAACATGTCAAAGATAGTAGGTGTTAAAAAATGTTTCCATAAATATGCAGTAAGACAAAGGTCATGACTTTCAAGCCTTGCCCAAGTGATATGGACACAGAAGGTCTGATCAAATATTAAACAACTGCACATATTCTAAAAAATTACCTGTTTCCCCATGGGCTCAGGGTTTGTCACTGTTGTACTGAAAAATCCATCCCACTCCAAGCGTCCGTACAACCCAGACCAATGGTTGTGTCTGTTGCCTGTGTGAGGGAGGCACCACGGGATCAGAGTGTTGTACTGCCTGTCCATTGGGTCGCATGCTTTTCCATTAGCACAGCCACACACCCCACGCAGTCCTCCTGTTGATGATTTGCCATTTTTTTTGTCATGATGCAGGTATTGCCTGAGAAAAAAAGAAGTACACATTGCAGAAACACACAGATTTTCATTAAACTTGTTGAAAGTGATTAGAAGTAATTAAGATGCCAATGAAAGAGACAGCCACACATAAAATGCAACTTGAAAGATAAAAGTATACATAATTATAATATGATAGAATATTAAATAAGAAATTGTGATTAATTCAGGACCCTAGTATTGTTAGATGAGTGAAATCGAGATTATGATGGATGAATATATGGAGGCAAAAAGATGATAAGACAAAGAACAATTATTATTAATCTCCTCTTCGAAAACTGAGATATGGAATGATAACATGATAATCTTAGGGAAGTAGGTAGTGAGGATGGGAGAGATCCAGAATGGTGTCTAATGGGAGGCTTAGGTATTAAGTGGTGTTAAACCTTCTGGAGCTTATACCAGAGTTAGTTGGTTAATGAGTTTTATATTATATGTAAATTTGTGTCTCACTTCAAGTGCAGAACAGTAATTATGTGTGTTTGAAAGAAAAGTTTCAATAAAGATATTTAGACTTAAGACTGACAAAGTAACAAATGATTTCAGAAAATTGCATAATGAGAAGCTTGAAATCCTTCAGATATTACTACTAGAAGAACTTAATTAGTTATCTGAATTACAAATAAACCATGTTCTAAATTATCCAGTAACAAAGAAACAAGGATTTAATGTGTATGTTGCAGCACCAACTTACAATTTTTTTGTGAATGTTCCATCACTTAACCTAACCACAATGTTTGGAAGATCACGCCAATCAGAACCGCAAGCTGTGGGTATGTGTGCTATTCGTGCCTCAATAATAGGGGCCATGTCTTTGCAGATGTGATCTCGTAGTATGGGCTGATACTGGTTCCCTCGGATCTTTAAAGAATAAAGTTTATAACATTAAAATTACACATATAAATAGTAAAAGAAGATAAGACCTTTATAAATTTCACAGTCAACAACCAATTTTAGGGTGCTCACCAAACGTTGAAAATGAGACATTGGTTCCCCACCATAGGGTATTTCGTCTCTTTTTTGTCCATTTTGTATCTCTGGAAGGTCAGACATTGCATCACGAACTGTGATGGTTCGGAAAGGTGCAGATGTCACCCAGTTGCAATTTGACAGAAACTAAAAGCATAGAAAATGAGTTAGAATAAAAATTATTTGCTATATTTCTTCAATTCATAAATATACACTGCATTCATCAATAATTGGACGAAAAATTAAATTATACTACAGGATAACATCCATGGTAATCAGCAAGAAGGGCCTAAGTCAAATGCAATTGCTGACTTCAGCCTTCCTTTCCCCAACACCAAAATATCTAAATGTGTTGATATTACTCAGCTGATGAAGAAATTCTCTATATGTTATGGTAACAAACTGCCCAACACTGGACCCTAATCACGTGCTAGTTGAGTCCAGTCCACACCCACACCTGAATCTATGCCCAGACTTTTGCAAATGGTCCCTTTCTTTCAGGTTACTAACTATAATTTCTCATCTCTTCATGCATGTCCCATCCATCTAATCCTTCTTGATATCTCTAATGTAACCTGGTGAACAGTAGAAATTATGAAGATCCTCATTATGTTATTTTATCCACACTCCTGTTATTTCTTCAATGTTTCATTTGTTGTACAACATAATCTATGTCCTTCCCTTACAGCTAAATTTCACGTCATCTTTCTGTTACTTAGGCTCCGCAAAAGAATCCATCCAAATGCAAAGCTGTTTGTGACATTTTACAACATGCTAGTTTTTATGGCAACGTGGTGTTAGATATTCCCTGACGCAGAGATACATCCCTTGATGGCCATCTGAAACTGCTTATACAACATATGCAGCTACCCTCCTACCCATACTCCTGACAGCCCAACAATATAAACAAATGAAAGAAAAAGTGACCACAGTTTAAACATGGTATCTCAGCTCCTGATTTTCAATCCTCTTTCCTTTTCAGGAAATGAAGTTCGACCTATTTCCATATCACCATTGCCTATGTTACTGTTGTATCTCAAACAGATGTCACCCTTAAGTGTGGAACTCACCAATTTCCAATGCAGTCATAGATTGATACAGAATATTAAACTATTACTAATGAAGTGACAAGAAGGTAATTTTTAGAAATAATGTATTTAAAAGCACAGTGAGCATATTTAAATTATATCTGATTAACAACATAAACAAATTATTTCTTTGTAACAGTGACCTAAAATGTAATGTTTACCTTCATGTCATCTACCATGACTGAGAGCTGACAGACTTTTGGGTTGAAAACATGTGTTGGCTCTGGGTAGTTGGGAAGAATTTCACCAGGAGCAGCAGCTAAAATGATGGCCCTTTGGAAGAACCAATGCAGAGATACCTTACTAGCTGTGCTTAAAGAAATTAAAATTGCCAACAAGGTGTCTGGTTATAAGCACATGGCCCTTTCACATTTGACAAAAAGACTATTGTTTTACAGGCTCATATTTAAAAAATAATTTAGTCTTCTAATATTGAATTTTAGTCTGGTAAAGCACATAAAAATTAATCAAAATGTCATCCTTTCATGATGTAAATGTAATACTTATTGTCCGCGAGGCACGAGAGTAGAAGTGGCCTTGTCAGCCGTTGCTTGTGTGGCAGGGGGAAAGTGGGTTCTGTGCATGCGCTGGTGATGTATTCCTTACCTAAGAACATTGTGCTATCAGTCAGTCAGTACATTAGCTCACGACGTACAGCCTGTATAAGCTGCGAGTGTTTTTCGGTCCGCTAGTAGCACAGAATTCTACCTCCACCTACCTCAAAGATGTCAGGTCTACTCTCGTGGCTTGCGGACAGTACTCATATTTACATTATGTTATATTATGTAGGTAAATATACTCTCATTAAAAATGACTACAGAGAATCAATTAATACACAGCTAAAATCACAACACTTCTTACATATTTAGTATAATATTTCTGTGACCATTTACAATGAAAATTTGCTAGAATGCCCAAAAATATTCAATCTAGCAGACAAAATATTTTTGCAAGCAATTACCATTTAGAACAAATTAAAACACAACCACGGAAAGCTTGACAGCCAGATATCTGCTGTTGCATACGATAATCAGATAACTGAACTCTTTCTTATCCTGCACATTGTTACAAATACCAAGGAACCAAAAAGTATGATATCTTTTAACAAAGTATAAGCACACTTTCATTAACTTTTAATTGTGAAAGTTTCAGTATGGACAAAGTATGATGTAACATTCAGATACTGCAATGGGCACTTACAGTAACTGTTCCTCCTGTTCTAACAGTTAAGATTACTGCAAACAATGCATTATATGAGTAAAAGTGGAAATGTTCATGCTTAAAGCATTTACCTGATACTACATTAAAAAACTGGCATCCCATAAAATATTAATCTCAAAAAATAAATAATATATTGAAAACTTTTTTTTTCCATTTATTGATAATTTAATGACACAAAAATGTTTATTTCAAATAAAATAAAATTTTTAATTGGACAGCTCAAATTAAATCTCTTACAAATGTCCATAAAACTGTAGTCTAAGAGTTAGTACATTCTTAGCGTAGCAAATACTTTAACTAAAATGTACCATATGTATTAACAGTGCCTGAAAAGTTAAAAAAAATTATTACAGTAAATTTCCCTCTTATAATGTCTGAATCACTGAATCTGTATAATGTTCAATAAATTAAGCATGCAGGCACACACAGTATCTCACCTCCTTCGTGTCTGAGGGACACCATAGTTTCCAGCCTGCAAGACACCAAACGTGCACTGATAGCCCATCCTCAGTAGACAACGAAGTGTCAGTTTCAATACCATACTACGTTTGAATGATACAAAGTTGCGAACATTCTCTAAAATGAAGAACCTTGGACGATAGAAGTCACAGTATGATAAGTATGACACGATCAAGGAATTCTGTGCATAAAAAACAAAAGAGATGCATATTATCAGCTTCCAAAACATACATGGAATACTTAATTTCATTAATAATTTATACAGCACAGAAAATAATAATCCTGATTGTTTTAAACTTTAAACATTTATAATTCTCAACTCCAGTCTCCCAGTATTCTGATTTTAGCCAGTGACAAATGTTAATTTCCAATACGAAACTTACTCATCAATCAATTTCCTGTATAGTTTTTGTAAGATAAAAACTTAAGTAAATTTTTAGGTACTTATGTAAACATATGCTGGCACTTATCAGTTTCATGCTGTTTTATTCAAAGGACATGCCTTCTCAAGTGAGGTTCCTCACCAATATAGACTCCCAGCATGTAGCCACAACTTACTTGTTTATGAAAAACAGAAAACTAAAAATTAATTCAATTTTGTCATTCCTGTGAAGAATTATGATTTTGGAGTATCATGCTAGGAGATTAAGGAAATTAAGTAACATATTTTTATAAAATACTGCACATTATACTTGCCTAAATTGTGAATGCATTATATTATTGATAAATGTTGACACATGAAAAATGTAATCCAAACCTTCATTTGTAAGTTGCTCAATAGGAAAGAAACCCATGTCCTAGAGATGGGTAAACAGATAACTTAATACTGGATAAATTAATTAGGTGTGACATACCTTGAAGAGGGAATACTGGCGTGAGTTAAATCTGTTCATTCCGCTGAATCCTTGACAGGGAGGCCCACCACACAGCAGTTCCACTTCACCTTTACAGGGTAAACATTGGCCCTTATCATTGGTTTTCTCTCCCTGGCAATAAATTTCATGTTCAATTAAACTTCCTAAGTTCCACAATCAATGTATTACTTCCTATTGCAAGATATATTTAAAACTCTGAAAAACAACTGCAGTCTGCAGGGTTATGATGCCATGCCCACCCAAAATAATGATGTAATAACCCAGAATATCACAACCCACATTTTCACCACTGTAAAAACTTGAAATATGTCAAACACAACTTTATAATAATTTTTTATTTGACCCAAAACATTTCATGTTCAAACAACTTTGGGGTTTGTGATAATGTTTCCTAATCAAGGTTCACTATACCTTCAACTGTTAAGTTCTAATAAAATTTATATTTTTAAATTTATCAAAAAATTCATTTTAGCATTGCATGAATATTATGTATTCCAGTGTACCCCTAGGTCTTGCAAATTGCCTCTTTCTTTCAGGTTTTACACTTTGAATTTATAGGCATTTCTAATCTATTCCATGTGTGGAACACCTTATCTTCAATGATCTGATCACCATTATGACTGGCAAATAGCACACATTATAAAGCTCCTCCTTATCTAATTTTCTACATCCTCATGTTGCGTTCTCTTTTGTCCATCTATAATCCTTAGAACTTTATTTTCAAATACCCTCAATGTATGCTCTTCCTTCACGGTAAAAGACCAAGTTTCACAACCATACAAATAAAAATAAAATTATAATTCTGTATAATTTAATTTTTAGGTTCCTAGATAGGAGGTGGAAAGATAACATATTTTGATCTTAATGGCAGCAAGCATTTCCCAAAGTATGTAGACTTCCATATCTCATCTTAAACAAAACAATATGGACATACACTTAGAGCTAACTTGAGTAACTGATTGCAGTCCTCTGTGAAAACTGTACATTCTGGATTATTCAGACGAAAAGCATGGGCTGCTGATTCTTCCTTCTCAATAGCCCAGCAGCTTTCAGCCACGCCAGACTGGCATAATCCTTCCGATAAACCTGCACATAAAATTTAAACTAAAAGATGTTTCATATAAACAAGTACTATTTATTTAAATTTTACATTCAGCAGCCATGACTGGTCAATACTGTTAAAGTCTGTAATTGCGTTAAATTTCATGAAATACAGGGTTTCAAGGGTTGGCTCCACTCCCATCTTCACATGAATGACCAGGTGTTGATCCTGACTACTGTCACTATTTTCTAAAGTAAAAAGAAATAAAATTGTGTCAGCATAATGACTGCTAATTATATAAAGATGGCAGTGCAGCCAATACAAGATCCATCTTTCACCTCAAGAGGAAACTTCTTCATAGTTCTATGCAATATATAAAACTGTCAAATAAGAGGACATACCACCACATCCAGCAAACACATCCAGAGACTGTAGCTTTGTGTGATTTTGGGGCCAATCCTCGATTTTCATCCCATTCTTCTTCTTCTTCTTCTCCTCTTCTGTTTCACTCCAAGTTTTCTTGCCTTTACCTTTGCCTTTGCCTTTCCCCTGAAATGATGTAGAAAAATAACTTCAAAGATACTGGACACGTTAATTAACTGAAAAGAAACAAGTGACTCAATGCAGCAGTGTCAGCAAGAATCTAATCACTGGGCTGTGCCACAAACACTGACTTCTCAATGCTGAGGTCTGGTTCAGACTCTTCTGGAGGTAAATGATATGAACAATAAAGTGACGAAACTGAACCACCCATTAATTCATTGTTGGTAGTGTCCAAAACAAACATGTTTGCAAGACAAAAACAAATATACATATATCTCTCAGTTGGCTGATGGAAAATACTCCACGCCACCTCACCTTGCCATACATGCCAATATTTGTAGCATGGAATGGTGGCTCCTCAAAGGTTTGCTTTATGCTGTTGTATGCCTGACAGAAATAAAACCTGTAGGGCCCATGGCTTGACCATTCAGCCATTGGAATATCCACATTCTCACTGAATACAACATGGCATTTTCCAACCACCTCACTGAAGTTCAATACACATTCTGTGGGCAATGAGAAATGTGATCAGTACTACTACTACTGGTATCAAATGAAAAAGCTACTTAAACATTCACAAAGTGCAACAAAACAAATCCCTTATAATTAGTTTTCAAGGAAATAAATAGTACTGAAAATAAAAGCATGTACCAAATAAATCTACCATTCTGGAGGAATGTTATGCCAAGTAGAGAATTCTGCTGGGCAGTCACTCAAAAAGAGACAGAATACTACTGACAAAAGTGCTAGCCACTAGGTATCAAACCTAAAAGTACAAATTACAAATGTTCTTCTTGCAAAATACTATGAACATAGAATGTTTCTTAAATAAAGATCATACAAAATTTCTCTATAAAAATTATGTGGAAACACTGTAACTCTTCCAAACTCCTAGAGACAACCCCTTCTCGATTTCATGACGGGGGAAGAAAAAATTATTGTGCCCAATAATTTGTATTATTACATGTCATACCTAGTGCACAGTTAAGCACAAAATAAAGCTTTACCCTTGCCTTTAAAATTTAAATTTAAATTCTTTTACACTTATTTTGTCCCTTTAGATAATCTGAACTCAATTCCATTCAGCTCACTACATGAAATGATTCTGATGCTGCACAATAATATAATTTTTCCACTTTCATAAAACATTACAAACGTTACACTGCAATCTTTCTAGAATAACACAATGAGACTAAAAATAAGATGTGTTCATTAAGTATTAATATGTTCACAATTCTGATTTCTAAAAGACTGACACCAGAAAATATATTTCAAATGTTGTGCATACACAATACAATGAAAATACTTGCCTTCTTCACTCCAATACAGCATATTGAGATCCATTTGCTGCCCCAAACAGGGCCCTCTGTGTGTGTTCTCTGGACGGTAGAATTTGTTGACACGAATCCAGATATCACGCGAAGGAACGAGATTATCATTAGTTTTTGCAAAGATTGTTTTGATGTGACCAACACAGAATGGTTCAGGTGTCTCCATATTTGAACCCCTCACATGGTCTGATGACTTACGATAGAACTCAGGATAAACATCTTCATCCACCTAACAAAAACCATAAATTAACATAACTCTTCCCAGCCTGGAGACTTGCTATTATGACCAAGGTTTTCTGTGGCTTTCCTCAGTCCCTCCAGGCAAATCCTGGATGGTACCTTAAATTCCCTTCCATACCCTTTCCAATTCATTATTAATTAATCATCCACCATTCTATCTTACAATCTCAGCTACTGACAGGACCACGAAATAAATCTCAGACAACAGAGATATAATAGTCTGATGTACAAATTTCAACATGACTATCTGCTTGGGCTTTAAAAGTCTAAACAAACACCAGAAAAGTATCTTCTGCAACCTCAGACAAGTTCCAAAGGATTAATATGTACATGCTAAACAGCCTACCACTGGTCCCCATCCTGAACCAGCTGAACCAGTCTGGAACCTTTAATCTTATTTCTTTAAAACCCATTTTAATATTATCCTCTTATCTATGCCAAGGTCCAACTATTCTCCTCAGCATCCTGTTATAAAATACTCTTACTCTGTATGAAATGTAAGGTTCTCACAGTAGTGAAGTTCAGATTATGGTCTTCTGGACTGACACCATGTAATCCTGTAGGTGGTTAACAGGGTACCTTGGAGAGAGAAGGTTAATTCAAAATGCTGATGAACACCTACAAGACTACAGTGTCACAACCCAGAAGACCACAGTATGACACCCCATTATATTATGGTCTCTTAGAGCAAGGAACCAAATTTCACATCCCTTTAAAACAAGTAGAATTAATGTTTTGTATATTTCTATTGAGAATATATTATCATGACAAACATACAAGTTTATAAATCTTTGCTTAATAAAAGAAGTTTCTTTCCTTTATATGAATGTTCCTGATATTAGAAGGCCATCTGAGTTTTATTTTATTTCCACTTTTGTTAACATCCCACCACACACACAGAGAGTGTGTGTGTGTGTGTGTGTGTGTGTACATATAGAACTATACAAGTGCGGATGACAAAAACTGCAAATGTTATAATAGCTATTATGCCAGAGACTTACTCATCCTGGTAACATATTTTTGTCACATTTTAAGAATGGTGAGAATACAGAATCTTTCACACTTCTCTTGAGCAGACAGAATGTTCGAGTACTACCTGCAGATCTGCAAAACAATGGCTTATAGAACTATACAGACCTTCTCATCTTTGCTTTTATCTTTTTTGGTTACAGCAGCAGTGCCTGAAGTCTTGAACTTGAATGATCCAGGTTGTAAGAACACTGATGTTCCAACACGGTACTCTTCACCCCTCAGCCGTACAACACCAAACAGCACCTAAATATGTAAGACAAGAAATTGCAACAAAAGACATATTTAATCCAAGTAATCTATGATGATCAAGTGCCATAAACACATTCAATGATTAGTTATAATTTAATGAGTAATTTTTTGTAGTGAAAGTATTACATAAACAAACAAAACTAATGGAATTTTAAACAGTGTATGATATACTGTGTTTAAAAAATGCTACTATAAATGTGGATTTCACAATTTTTGCTTGTTATCAAGTAACAGGATTAAACTCCTCACTGATGCCCTTATACCAAGTTTTGCAATGTATTAAAAAATAAACAGAATTGTAACATAATTTCTACATTACTATGAATTACAAAAACTGCACTGAAGCTTTAGGATGTATGGTATTCATGTTAACAAAAACTAGTACACAACACAAATCATGCAGCAGTTGACTATGATTTTTTAAATTAACACCATCTGTTGACAAACCAGTAGATTAAAATGTAACCAAAAGATAAACAACATGCTCCTTTAATTATGTAAACCCTACAGGAATGGGAAAGAAATGTGAAAAGATGGTAATTTATTATTAATGGCAAAATCATTTATGTTGCTTTCTAATATAACAATAATGGCTTAAATCATGTATTTATTTAAATCTACATTTATTCATAAATTTTGATGATGTACTATTAATGATGCTGTATCAACTTCTAAGGTCATTATTTTTTTAGAATGCACATTCTACTTTTTATATACAATACATGCCTATTCAATCTAAAAAGATGTAAACATTTTTGACTCTTAGAGCAGCAGGTGTGCAAAGTACAAATATCAGAACAAAGGCAAATGATGTGAATTGCGGCTTTACATATCTCACAGAAATTCTTCTGACATGCAGGGAAATGTGAAAGCTTTCATATACAGCCCTCGATGATGAACAGTAGTTAATGCCACAAATGAATGAACTACAAAAACCATTTAATGGACTATTACCTCATGATTCTCATTTGTAACTCCCAACTTTTCATAAATCTTTGGCCTCCGATATTGCTGCTGAAGACATGACCTCTCACATGATGCACAGAACCTGGATGATGGGAGTGAACAGAACAAATAAACCCATTAGTAAAGACAAAGGACCCATTATACCAAAGGAATCCTAATAAAGAGTTCCAAAATTTTAGGATTTATCTAATTTTTATTATGTGATTTGGTAGAGCGATGAGGTTGAGAGTATTGGATATGCAAGGAAACAGTGAGAAGGTAGCAAATCTATTGCATACATTCATTAAACAAGATGCAACACACAAAGGACAAAAACACAAATTCATTTTTACAAGATGACAAAAACCTCTGAAGTGGGTATGACAGGCTATAAATTCTATCAATGACAAGCATATTCACTGGTTTCACTACTCTTAGTTTTTATTATTTCCTCTTCCACAGTCAAAGAAAAACAGTGAATTCATATCAAATGTACAAGAATAATACTGTATTCAAGACAAATTCAGACTATATATCTAAAAACAATAATTTTTATAAGCAATACAAACCTGTATCTGAGCTCTTCGAGACAAGGCGGGTCAGCAGCCAAGTCCTCAAACCGGGCATGTATCCAGTCATATCTGAACAATGAATGTTAAAACCTTTATCAGAAGAGTCACTTTTCAGTCACTACAGCAAGCTGCAAGTCTAATTTAAAACTTCAATAAATGTCACTTAGGGCTACATGTGGTGCCCCATGTTAACGAATGATAGTGCAAATATATGTATATTAAGCACGTAACAGACACACATATTCCAATAAAATGGGTGTTTGATTCATGAAAGCACAAATTACATTAAGTGTAATAACATGTACTGAACCTTATAATCACAAACTAATAACAAAATGTGTATAAAAGCAAAATATCATGAAAAACAAAACAAAGTCAGATACTAACCAAATCCTACATATTTTTAGTACAAAACAGCAGTATTCTACCCTTCCCCTTCCTGAATTTCTGAACAATTACAGTACTTTACTAATACAGCAAACTGAAGAGTTTTAATAGTGTACTCAAAGCAGTACTAGCTTTCCAAATATGTCTGTTGAAATTTTGCATGCTGCTTTGATCTTAATATTTATTAATTGTTATAAAAAGCTATATTTCAAAGCTATAAATAATTTTCCTTGTATTTAATTAATATATGTAACACTGAGGAAATGTGTACAGTGTATCCGTAAAATAATGGTGGGGTAACAAACAGTCATAGTTTTGGAACAAAGCATCATAGAGACATGAAATAAACGTCAAAATAAAGAGAAACTCTCCAATTTTTCGATACGTAAACAGGTTCTAGCGCAAGCGCATGTACACTGTGTTACAAGGTCAATAGCCGCGTGAAGCTTGTTAGTCACCATGATTACGGTGCAAAGGAAGGTTCAATGTGTTTTGTAGCTTGCTAAGTTTGAGTCAGTTACACTTGTTAGGCGTGAATACCGTCATGTGTTTAATGAAGAACCACCATTGGGACAAATAACTCAGAGAAACGGGCAGCCTACTGAAGCAGTCACGTCCAGGACGACCATCAGTGTCCGACGACACCATTAAAGCGTAGCCCGAAGAAATCAGTGCGGAAGTGTTCTGTAGAGTTAGGCGTTTCAAAAACAACTGTTCACAACGTTTTAAAGAAACAACTACGCTTTACTGGTTATAAAATTCAGGTGTTACATAAAATTTATCCACAGGACAAAATTAAACGATTTGAATTTGCTACAGACATTCTAGATAGGTTAGATCATGATGGGGAATTTTTAGACAAGTTTATGTTCAGTGATGAGGCTACGTTTCATGTTTCGGGACAAGTCCATTGGCATAATGTTAGAATATGGGGTAATGAACCTCCATATGTGATTATGGAACATCAACGTGATAGCCCGAAAGTTAATGTGTGGTGCGCAGTTGGTTGAGACAGAGTTATTGACTTCCGGGATATGTTAGAAGGGTATGCATTGCCCAAAATACCGGAGAATTTCATTCTCCAGTTAGACGGAGCTCCTCCATATTTCGCCACATTCGTGTGGGATTACCTAAACCAAACATTTCCTCAGCGATGGGTCAGACGAGGAGGGTGGATAGCCTGGCCTCCATGCTCTCCAGATCTTACCCCTATGGATTTTTATTTGTGGGGTTATGTGAAGCAACAAGTGTTCTCTGTCCAAATAACAAATTTGGACCATTTGAAAGAACGGATCACTGAAGCTGTTTCATCTATCACACCGGATGTTCTCGGTCGTGTATGGCAAGAGCTTCAATATTGTCTTGATGTCTGCAGGGCAACTAAAGGAGCGCATATCGAAATCTACTGAACAGGTAAGATTCTTGGAGAATTTCTCTGTATTTCACGTTTATTTCATGTCTCTATCATTCTTTGTTCTAAAACTATGACTGTTTGTTACCCCACCATTATTTTACGGACACACTGTATGTAAAAGTTGTAGATCTTAATGAGATCTAAATTTTGTGTAGTGTACCAATTTTTTGTATGATACCACCACTCTTGAGATAAATATCATCCTATCCTAGTTTCAAGTAGAGTAGGGGCTGTATAGGATAAATATGGACCAAAACTGAAATCACCATGCAACCTTTGGCATTGACTCCCACTACCAAGTTTAATGAAATCCATGTACAGTGTCTGAAATAACACAAAGGCAGGTAGACTAACAGTCATGACCTCCATATCATGCAATCATCTTTTGAATTCTGTCTAAAGAATACATGAAAACTGGAAGTGTGAAAAGAAGGCATGCATAGAGAGGTGACATCCAGCTGACTTACTGTTTCTGAGTAAAGAATGTTTTGCCATCGTCTTCAACAGCATGTTCATGTTGCAACTCTACTCCTCCGAGCTCTGCCCAGTTGCTTGGAATGACTTTCTGGCTGACTATTGCCTTTCCTGTGATTGCTGACAGATCAAAGTCCTCACACTGGTCAATCACAAATAACTCAGCTGGATCTGATGTCTCTCCAAGAACTGTGTCAGATCCTCGGCTACACAAATTTAACACCATTCCATATAAGTAATCATACCTAATCTAATAATAATATAAGAAATACCAATGTAACTGGTGGTCGTGCACAATGGCCATACATTTCCTTTACTGTTACAGTTCCCAATAATAAGAATGACTCAGATCCTATGCTGGAAAATAAGAAATACAAAGCCATGTCATGAAGACCTCACAATCTTAGTACCTTACACACCTTTGTTAATACTGTTAAGACAGTGACCACGCACCCTTCTGAGGTGGGAACAACATGCATGTCATTAAAGTAGGATCTTCAAGTTTTGTGTGGCAAAATATCTTCGAAGAGATGATATAAAAACATTACTTATAAATTTTTATTTAGAATACACCACTGGGAAAATCTAAGAAAGTCAAGAGGGTCTGGAACTGAATGGAACGTATCAATTTGTCATTGACGTTCATTTTGTGAGTAAAACATAAATACCATAAAGAAAAACACAGAAACTGTACTGGATGGCAGAAAGAAAAATGGTGTAGATATAAATATAGAGAAAACTAGGTACATGTTCACATCTCATCACAAAAGGCAGGACAAAATTAAAATATTTGGGGAAGGTATTAAAAAATCAAAAACACATTCATGAAGAAAAATAGATTAAATTCAAGGAATACTTGCTATCATTCATTTCAGGAACTGTTATCCTCGTGTCCCTTATTAAAAATCCAAAGACTAAAATATGAAAAACTACAATTTTTACTTGTTGCTTACATGGTTGAAAAACTTGATCTCTCACCATAACAAAAACAATAGTGACCAAGTGTATTTACGAACAGGATGCTGAGGAGAATATTTGGAATGAACAGAGAGGAAGCAACAAGAGGTTGAAAAAATTATATAATATGGAGCTTCAAAATTTGTTCCTTACCAAACAATAGGGTAAAGAATGGGATACAATTCTTAATCTGTGTATGTCATACTGTGTTTGCAACTTTGGTTATGTCCATCCACATTTTCCAAATAACATAAACTGCATATACTAACTAATGTATTACATCCTATTGGTTACAACACTAGCAGCTGTCAAATGTCAATAATTATTTGGAACATGTCAACAAGGAGGCAAAAATGGCTGATAATCATTGGCATCACTTAAAATAAAAACCATATGAGTACATTATATGCAGTAGCAGTAGTAGTTTTATCACTTAGCCACTAGTCATAAAATATTGCACAAAAATATTGTTATTTAACATTATGTGGTTTACACTGGCAGTGAACAAATTATACAAAGCATGAGATTATTCATGAAATGTATATCAAAAGAAAGTATAGTACATAAAAGAAAGATGTTTACAAATAAAACACATGCTGTTCCCTATAATGTTCCACTTTGTGTCCACCACTGGTTGTATATGCAGTACCTAACAGATGGGCAATTAAACCCCGGGGCAGCTATACTGGACACAAAATATCTGCACGCTTTAGCTGTGTCACAGTAAGGGGAAAGGGAAGATGGAAGGGGGGAAGCAAGACACCTTATATGCTTCTCCTCCCTCCCAGTATCTTGCCTGGCTAACCACCAGCACATGTATTTGTAATGGCCAATGAAGCTCAGCAACATCTTGCCACAAGTATACATACATTTTATTTATATTGATCTTAAATAAGTACAATAAAATATGTCAAACTAAGAAAGAAGGAAAAGCTGTTGTTTGACAGCTCAATATTATGTTTAATAAATTGTTATATAAAATTACTTATTAAGATTTTTTGAATGTATGCATCTTACACTTTGACATTACATTGACTTTTAAATAATTTTAAGTACTATTTTTACGACTCTCGAAGAAATATCTTCAAGAGCTTGGAGACTGAAAGCTTTGGAAAGCATGGACTCAAGCTTGGGATAAAAATGTTATTAATAGGGTTGCACACTTCTAAATAAATACACATGTTCAATTTCTGCTATTTCATTAACTCTTACCTGAACCAATGGCCATGTCCACGCTTTGCACCAGTCCCGTCTTCAAACAAGTACATGACTCGGGCAATGAAGAGCGCCCTAGTAGGGTCAAGGGGTTCCACCATAATACAATCACCAGGCTTAATCTCCTCATCATTAACCATGACAGTGCTGGTGAAAAACACATAAATCTTAATTTGCACCAAGGCATGAAAACACTACAGTTGGTATATCTATTTTAGTTCTAGCAGCAGGAACAAACAATTGTTCACTTTTAGTTTTCAATGTGCTTAATGAGACCTACAACATACTGGTAGTTAACCTATGAAACAATCACTGAAAATCAACTGAAAATTATAAAACAATGACAAATACATAGAATTACATAAAAAATATTTTTTATTCAATCATGATCATCATAAAACAATTAACAATCACAATGCCATATATTTAAAAATATAGTTTAAGAACACATTGTTACGAACTTACTTGTAGTATTTACAGCTCCCATCATCCTTAACGAGACTTCCAGTCCATCTGATATAATGTTCAGCACTCCACGCTGAAGGGTTAACGAGACTTCCAGTCCATCTGATATCACGCTTCTCACGAATGCGAATACCTTTATGAGTATTAGCAAAGGTAACATCTGATGTTGCATTCTCTGACAATAAACAATAGTCTTCATTATCCTCAGGCTCTGAGTCATCTGCCTCCTGAATGGCCACATTAGGACATCTAACAACACAATCACAAATCTGTCTATGCTCATCTTTCAAAGTTGCACATATCATACATAAACTTGCAAAACAATGATTCAAAGACTCCATTATTCACGCAAACTTTCTGTGAAAACAATGTGCATTTAAGCACCAATGAATAAAAATCTTCTCACAAATTCATTCTGGCTGCTAATTTTCAAGGAGGCACATAAAGCCAGTGAAAACTTAATAGTTGTCTACACCTATTCACACACTGTATTCAATCAAATACAGCATATTGCTAATAAAGTAATCAATAAATTGTTCAAGTGACCTATCTTTAAACTAGTCTTTCTGTTGTGAGTGCATTATTCTGTTTACCCCTAGTGATATGGTGGTGATGATGTAGATGGTGGTACCTGGTATTGCATACATTCACAGAGTTTCAGTTTCATCAGCACTGATGGTTAGGGAAGGCATGTGAAATGTAAGTTTTCAATAAACTATGACAAAGGATATATAAAAGAAGGCTAATATCTTAGCTGATATCCTGAGAAGAACAGACAATAAAATAAGGATTGTAACAGGGAGAATACATATAGGAAGAACCACTACTTGGGACATTATGGGGAAACTATTATAAACAAGAAATACTGTACATTAAGAATGAACATTATAATGAGATTTCACTGTGTGATCCATCTTAAGCACACTATCCCCACTCCAATTAATATGAAAGTGAAATCAAGAAAGTTGTGATATAGCTCAAATGTGGTCATAAAAAATGTTCAAAATTTTTATGAGAAACCTCCTGTAGGCCAAGTCTTCGGATGGTCTTTGGGTTTTTAGAAAACAGGTTATGAGAATGTGAAATGGACTGCACTTGCTGAAGATGATCACATCCAATGATACTTAATTAACCCAATATTCATCTACAACTATGCCTAGAATACAGCCCAGCAGCTTTATGATTAAATTTAGATCTACTGTATTCCTTGTGTTAACTAATAAAAGATTTAGAACTTAAAATGAAGGAATAATTATCTACATAAGTATACTAATGATTCTGAAGAACATTTGATACCTGCGTTGAACACAACACTGTTTGCTGCGCCCTGTACCACCAAATTTGACCATGTCTTGGCACGACACACAAGTCCCACAATCTGGTAATTGGCA